ATGGATACAGAATGTGCACAGATGGATGGATTGCCCATATTGTCAGCACTGATTTTTGCCCATAGATTAATCCTGCTTGGCAGCCCAGATCGTGGCAGTTCTGTAGTATAGATTTTGTTGACCTCGGTGTGATTTATTTCTGTGGGAAACAGATCTGCAGTCTCCCTGTCTGCACGGCTGATCCTGGGAGGTCGCTCGGTGGGACATGAAAGCCCCTGAGTTAGAAATGCTGAATGGCTGTTAGAAGTAGATAACTGGTACCTGGCCCTGGAACCAGTATTCATATGTCATACGTGGCCAAGGGGTCACTGAACATGGGGATGGCTGGCCTTGCTATATCACACTTCAAGTAGCCCTCCTCTGGTCAGCCCCCTAAAGGGGAGGGGCTCTGAACAGCAGGAGTGGAAGTTTGTGATAGGTTTGTGCTTCTAGATGTCAGACCTCCAATCTTGTCTTGTAGGTAGAGGTTTGAAAGGGACATCTTGTATATATGTCTCTACACCTTTACAGTATCTGGCCAGATATTTTGTTGTGAAGTCTGTAAAATATATGCTGGATGTGTGCCTGCATTTGTTGGGCAAGTTTTCTGTTAGCATGTCCAATGCAATAAGAATTCCCATGAAACGGTCTCATCAATTGGTATTGAGGTTCTGTATGCAGTAACAATTACCTGCCAATGTTTTGAAAGTCCCTCTGCTAATACATTGTACATATGTTTGTTGAAGACAGACCTGCATCTCAGAGTGGAGTGAAACAATTGCTGTACTGTACTGCTGTTCCCCTGACATTCCTCCATGATGCATTGTCAACATTTGAATGTGTGATAACCCCTCTATTGAAGTCAATAGTAAAGCTGCCTGCATATCTAGTAGTGTACAGGCCCCTGAACTGCTGCAGTTTAATGACTGTACATCAACCAAGCGGTGTACTCATGTTCTCCTTTGTGTGGGTTTATCTGCCACCTGCCAGCCCTCATCATAAAATGATCACAGCTCATCCTTAATCATTTGCTGTGGCTGAGCCTTTTATTCAGGGATGTTGGGCTGCAAGTGACAGATGGTTCATAAACCCCTCTCTTTGTACGGCTCTTACATGTACATGAGATAATGTCCCGACAAAGGAAATTTCAAACACGGTGTGTAAAAGTTCAAGAGCTTCAGCTTCAAGCATTCTTCTGTACTCAAGCTGCCTATTTTTCATAATGATCTCTTATACTGCAACAGAAATCACAGTTTGTAGAGCAAGCAAGGCGTACTCTTCATGAGCCTTGTGATTTTCTACCTTAATTTAAGTTACATTTTGTTACATCACTAAGTTGCTGTCTAGACAGCAAAACTCTATTAGACTGCTGATTTATCACATTGACTTATTATACATGTACAATGCTTGAAATACTACCTGCATATGTAGGTTGTTGCAGTTAAGATTGGACCTGTGCAGGTATTTCTAATGTCTACATGTACCTAACCTGCACTGGTACATGTTCAGAGTATATATGTACGTGTAGGTGTATGTGGATTTTTATTTGCTGCTACCACCTATAAAGAGTAGAAGAAATGATATTAATTGTTTCTGAATAGTTTTTAGCATGATCCATACATACCTAAATTGCAGTGTCATGTAGGTAAAATTTTCAATGTTACCTATATGTACACCAGACAAATTTTACCCACACCACTCAGAATTTAAGTATGTACTAGTATATATATATGGACCATGCCAATAGCTTTACAGAAACCATTGCCATTATTTCTGCAGGTATGTATTTGAACCCTGTTATATTTGTGATATAGTGGATTGGTTTGACTACTTGAGTGACATGTAATTGTTCCTGCCCAGGTTGAGATCCGCCCCATGATGTACCTGGCTCTGACGTACGACCACCGGCTGATTGACGGGCGGGAGGCGGTCACCTTCCTCAGGAAGATCAAGTCTGCTGTGGAGGACCCCAGAGTGCTCGTGCTGGACCTTTGACACCGCGGAGACCTCCCTAGCAGCACCCCTTATCACTCAAACAAACCTGACTGAATGTTAACTGTGATGAATCTTTTTCAGAAATCGTTTTGCTATGTCTACAAATATATACTACAGAATCTACCACCAATTCATTACTGGCACACAGAAGTAGGCTGTTGTTTTTACCTAGAATAGGAATATGTTATTGACAATGTAGGTTTGGACAGAGATAATGATCAGCCTTACTCAGTACTAGTTCCACAACCAGACTCAAAACATTCACTTCAAGACCTCCAGTAGCACTTTGCAGTGTTTATTACTTTCAATTTCTTCTGTTGCTGCTGATAATTAAGCAGTTATATAGATCAATATTGGATGCTTTGCCTGTTTCAGTTATCTAAGCTGAGCCTGAAAATTGAACTTTACAAGTTTCCTCATATCGGATGATTTTGACATTGAACGCTCTGCTGGACATCTTCTGTAATCACCGCAAGCTTGCCAAGGATTTTTAGAATTTATGGGGCCATTCAGACTGTGCCCGATACTTGGCACTGCGGGGGGAGGACTTGTGTTGGGCTGATGCCAGCATGATTGCCCAATGTGTAAAGAAGAAGTGACGCTTTATTGATTGACCTTTTTATGTTGTCAGCCCTGGTTGTTTGCTTGTAGCCTTACTGCCCTCTGCTCAGTCTGGCATGTAACCGGATCTCTCATCAGAGTGATGTATTCATAGTAGAGTACTAGTAAATAAATAAACCACGTATTTATTGATGTTTTCAGAGGCAGCTCATATTGTCTACATACTCTGACAGTACCTGCTGTCCTAATACTTAATTGATTAGTATGCGTGAATTAGAGTTATGCAGAAAATTAACACCAATGAAAGAATGTTGTCATGTGCGTTGTTCAGTTTTTATGGTTAAGATGATCTGTCTTGGTATGCTGAAGTCTAGTGTATCGCCACCTATTGAAAGGTGTGGTGCATTCTACTTAAACATTAACATCTGTGTCCATACATAATATCACCATAGTCCATAATATCGCCACCTTGAAAAAAAGTGTGCTTAAAGATATTTTTACTGCAACATACCCAGGTATGTACATTTGAGGTGTGCAGGGTGCATACCAAAAGTATGTTGCAGGAAAAACTATCTTAAAGCACACTATTTCTCAAGGTGGCGATATTATGGACCCTGGTGATATTATGGACACGGATGTTACATATAAAGTAATATGAAGTTAAATTTTGTTGGATATTTATGCTGTTGTAAAATGCACCAGTCCTTTCTGGTCCCTGAAATTATTTGGGACTGTTTGGCAGGAGTTGTCCAAACTGGAGGTGTTGAAACCTTGATGCACACAGTTGGTCTGGTGGTCCCTTTCTAAAAAAATAAATCTTGCAACTCATCACGAATTTACCCTTCTCAAAACGATTTTACAGTACAAGATCCAATTTGTTAGATGAATGGTACAATTTTAATGTTTGTTTTAAACTATGAATAGCTTTTTCTGGAATTTTTTGCAATTTTCTAATATTGAGTAATCAGCAATGTTACTCTGGTCAATTTTTTCTGTCATGTAAAAGACCATATTACCCCGTGCATTGTTTAGTCGTAGTCATTGCTTTCGGAGGGTCGTAGGTACTAAAAAGTTGAAAACGGCACACACATGTACTGCTTTTTCTACTTAGCACTCAGAACAAAATTAGCTCAGGAGCTAAAAGAAAGTTAAAAGAACAGACAAATGGCGATGGTTATTTTTCACATTCCAGTGTAACCAGAACAGAATCTGCTGTGCCTATACAGTAGTGACTGAAGCCGTTCAGCATATCATTTCAGCGTTTACAGAAATCGATTTTGATGTTACTCAATTGAGTTTGGCAATAACTGTTTCATTTGGAAGGCTGAGAAGAAATGGCCATAAATCTTAGCTCGCTCCGGCAGTAACCGGTCCCTATTACATCCACTCGCCGCTATAAAGCCCGACCTGCCCGGCCGTACTGCCGCTGCGGGGGGCCCAATTTGTTGGTTTATGACGCCGATCTCTGGCCTGTAACTGAACTCCTCACTAAGCTCCAAGCAGATGTAATGATGCTCTGTTTTACCCCGATTTGTGCAAGATCTAGTACTCTTCCAGATTTTTTATTGTTCGTCTTTGGCGGTCGGTTCCATGAATGCTGATGAATGTAATCTGTTGGAAGATGCAAACCGGTAAGAAGTACAGCGCTAGAAAAGAGAACTAATAAATGTTGCAGAAACTGATGTGAAATAATGGCAAAGAGCCGGCTCCTTACACCTGCTTGGAGATTACTCGTCACTACCTTTTGTTAATAATTATATATATTATCTGGGGTTATCATGGAGTCTTAAATTTTGTCCGATCGCAGCGTGGTTCATGTAGACATGTTGATTATTTCTCCGTCCAGTATTAAATTGGCAAGTCTATGCTCTTTCTCAGAAGCAGGTATTCCTGCTGCGTCAGAAACTGGTGGCCGCTGTCCATGCAACTGCGTTGCAGATCATGCATTTTCGCAGCCTTAATTGCCCAAGGTTATCGTACGTTTTATGATGATACAATGCCAGAGACGGACTTAATAGCACAATAGGGTGGACCTGCAATACTGCATGAAATTTCCCGGTAATTTGACGATAACAGCGTGTGGTCTTTTCTTACGAAGTTTCCCATAAAAGTTGTCCTGGGGATTTCGCCGCGGTGGTGCACTGGTTGGTGTATGATAATTGTGTTTTGAACATCAGCAGTCCCTAACAAAGTACTCCAAAACAGCCGCATTGATTTCCAGTAATGTTAATGGCCTTTATGCGATGAACGGGATCTCGGGAAGTGCTTTGGAAGCATCTGGACTTTGAGTCTCATTACAACGTCTGCTAGTCCTGTCGAAGCCTCGGCAATTGGGTTATACACTTCACCAGAATCGGCCCCCGCGGTGTATCGATCTCTTTTTTAAAACAGTTTCCCGAGATGTTAGCAGAGGGAAACGTTCCCCCGTCGCGCAAGATTGCCTGTCGGCCAAACGAGTTTGTCACGTTGGCCCTGACCTCGATAATTGTCTTTGCGATTCTCCTAGAAGAATGGCGGTCTTTGTGGACCCTTCCCGGGTTCCCCCGCACAGATTTGCCGGCAGAAGTTGATGGATAGGTTGTTTTGGGAGGGCAAAGTGGGAGATCTTCACCTTGAAAGGATAGTGCAGGGATCAACAGGAGGAATCGGCTGCGTGGGAAAAGTTGTCTTCAGGCCTCCAAGGGTGGAGAGGAGATACATGTAGTTAAGATATTCCGCCTTTGTTGAGAAGCTCCCGACTTTCTAATGACTGCGTGGACGCGCCGCGGAGACTTTCGTCTGGCACGAAGAAAGTTTCAGGCAGCACCTAATCACTCAATTAGACCGTGGCAGTTCTCCGCTGGGCCCAATTATACTTCTCCGGCGATTCTGCGCCACTCCGCTGTGATTTTAGCAATGCACGACGTTAAGACGGGGTATGCCCAGAATGATTAAAAGTTGTCGGTGCCAGTGCACTCTATATTCTCTCTGACGAAAATCTAAGCTTCGACTGGTGCACGTTGATTTGCCATGGGAAAAGATTAGAATGAAACATGCGAACAAAGAGAAACCCACGACCACAGGAATGCAGGCAGAATTCTAACAGCAATCTCTCATGTTGTAATATGGACTTCTTTACTATTTCTAAGCAGATGTTGTGAGGCAAAATCGTTACATTTTCCTAACTGCCCCTTTCTGTCACAAAGGGATTTTCTTCCCAACATCTGCTTGAAGATTATGTATTTACACGTTATCGAACTTCCATACCGCTGATTCTGCAAGGGTAGTTTGGGCACGTCTGACTTTCATTTCTGCATGACACGTTATATTTGTATGAACAGGCAAGCCGCAGACTGCAGTGCTATGTAATAATAGGACTATGTAGGAGTAGGCAATATTATATGGGGCGTCCATGTAGCACACTCTAAATTAGATCTGTCCCAGGCAATAGGAGCCTATGCTGACGCGATGACAGCTTTTGAAACAATGTATGAAATCTATATTTCCCTCAAGAACCAAATTAAGAAGAATGTACGTGGTTTGCGCGGGCTCCGTGCTGTATCTGTGGTTCTCTGATCACAGTTTTATAATACGAAAAGAGAAACTGCGTTTTCACAGAATTACGTTCAGCTGTTCTGACCCACCACCAACTACCGACGTGGATCAATAACTTATAACCACTCCTTGTCGATGTTGTTTAATCCTGCTCACTCTGGTACCTGGCCCAGCCATGCTAGTTGTCCTCCCTTCTCCAACCTGAAATTTCTCGGAAGACATTTCATGTCTCTTTGGGTGAGACGAGAGCTGCAACTGCCTACTGGTATGTTAGCTGCCAAACTTTGATATGTCCTAACTCTCCCGTAGAGTTTTACACAAAAGGACTTAACGCACAACGTGCAACTCACAAAGTGAAACCCTGATGATAAGGGCGCCTTCTTTTACCCAGCTTGACAGTAGGTCATGTACTCTACGTACCCCTTTTACACATGCAAAAGTTAATGTCAGAGATGCTTTACAAAACGTGCAGCGGAAGAAAATCAGGTGATTGTGCTAGCATAAGATTTTTTTTCAATTTCCAGTCTTATTTAGATAATGGCCATGGTACAGTTATTACAACTTTAATGTTAACGTTGAACGAATAAAACTCGTGCATTACTTTTGAATGTTCTGAGCGTTGGAGAAATAAATATGTATAGAAGTACGTTAAAAGTATTTCCTTGTAAGCATGTCCTTGGTGAGGCCCGGCCGCAGCATTCTTATCAGCCGAGATGAGTCGGCGTCTCCCCGCCGTTCACGGCCAGGGGTATTGATAAGGCGGAGTTTCTGTGTGCGGTGGAACGAGGAGAATTGCTTTAATTCCGGTTCATTCATACCGAAATTGGTGCGTGATTACCGGCCCCTTCGCGTGGGTGGTTTTCCCGGCGTGGCGACCCGGGCTACACTTGACCGGAAAACAAGATTGAGCTAGCAGGGTTTGATGTATGTGTGCAGGTCACCCTTCTTCTCCCCCTCACACAGGCCGTCTCAGCGTCCTTTCATCGCGTCTCCATTCTCTGAAATACGACCTGTCCGTCATCTCGCGCGCAGGACGACCGTCCCTGTCCGCGGTTAAAAGCACATCAGTGGGAGTACCTACCGCACGCCGTTAAATATACTGTAGTGTTTCCCACCCGTGGTCGTCCGGGGGCACGTTCGTGTGAAATGTGACCGTCATAAAAATTGAATCACGCATTTCCTCTTACAGCCAGCTATTGACAGAACGTCAAAGGTAATTTGAGGACAATGGCACACACGTCTTTTATTACAGACACCATCATGATTTGGCGAACGAATTTACGTAGACAACATGCACCCAACACATGGCAAATGCGATTGAGTAGAAAAAAATATGTGACAGATTTTTTTACTTTTGGAAACATAGATCAGACTTGACAGAATGCTGAAGGAATGTCTGCTTTCTTTTATTACAAAACTCAAAATGAATTAGAGGATGGTAAAAAAAACATGAAACACAGATTGCCTTTGAAAATAGTCTGGTACAATAAAGTTCAATATTAGCATTGCTGGCGCTAGAGCAGACATCTGGACGTCCAGAAGCAGCGTACATGCGTCTTAATTATACACACTTAGTGGGGTAGAAATATGCACAATTTAGATGTGTAAATTATATTACTGCAATACTGTAAAGCATTAACAGATACGTAACACGAAAATGATTGAATTAAGGATAAACGGGAATGATACAGAGAGAATGGATGGAACACAAATTAAA